CTCGCGTAAGATATTCTCTAAATCAGACCGCCCTCGCGGTACTTACCGAGAACTGGCTGTCCCATCAGTCCCTTAAACCAAATCCAAATCGTGGTGGCCGTGTCCCTTCAGCCTGGCCCCGTGGTGTCGCACCCAGGCTCCACGAGGGTGTCCATCAAACACTCGGAGTTTCACACACTCCGCCACGCACTGGCACTATACCATCCAAAAGAAACCCGGGAGCCATGGTTCTCTGCGAGAGATCCCAATAATCGCGATCCGCGATTATCCGATAGCTCCGCTATCGCCCGAGCACGGAAGAAGGACTCATTTTTCGCGGTCCGCCGGACGCCCGAGTCCTTACACGCGGACTACCCGCGACACACTCTCTTTATCCTACCTACCGCTCTTCGCGGTAGGTCAACAATCAAAACAAATCTCCTCTCTGGCGCTCTCCCAGCGGACCCGCAAACCGTAGCCGTTCAAAGTTCCCGGGGTACCGGCAGTGTGCCCTGGCGGTTGAGCACCCCTTGCGTGCGGGCTCTCATCCCAAAAGGGCCCCGTGAATCCGCCGTCAGTCCACTATTCTCCCCCGTTCCCTCCTCCCGAACCACGGACCAACGAACTCCTTGGAGATAGAGGCCAGAGGCACTGCCGTGCTGTCGGCAGCGCGCGGAGGTGCAGGGCTTTTGTAATGTGTCGTCCTGACGCCACGTTACAAGTTTTATTAATTATTAAATAACCATTAAATCATAATCAACTACGGGAAGCAGCAGTAATGTAAAAGAGTAGTGAAAACGTTATAGGAAATTTTGAAAATACAACTAAAATGATGGGCCAGTGCTAGATCATATAATAGGCAAACATGTGATGACTTATGTACTTGGCCTCAATAATCTGATATCAATACTTTTTATTAGAGGAATACACAGCTCTCCTGTACTTGGCGTAGTTTTTTACACGTAAGTGTTTTTTTGGGGGATAAGGAGTTGACTCGGGTAAAGAGTCTCGGCGCGCTGCGCCCTGTACAGCCGGTTGCCTGTACTTGGCGCGAGACTCGACCGAGTCTCTTGATGTTTCGATGATTTATGTAAAGTAAGTTTCATGATCATTGCACTGTACTGGATTCATTATTTTTACGAATTAAACTTTAATTCCTGATTACATTTAAAATCGTATGTGATTTCACAAATATTTTGTCTTAGTTGTTAACATAAAACTACGATTATTGAGGTTACAAGTTTGACATGATGCAAATTGACATACTTCACTTATATACGCACATTTATTTATTTACAGATTAATTTATTATGATCGTTGATAAATTTTGTTTTTCGTAATGCGATGAATTCCTGTCTCAGGGCAGTCCTTTACACAACATTTTGTCATTTTTACTACTTAATTATTTGTTTCCAGTTTCGTCGAATCGTCAAAAATTTTATTATTTATATATATCACATTTCGAAGTCCATCCTGATTTTCTCTATTTTCCTCAATTTATAAACGCTCGATATTTATATTATTTATTAAGTAAAATATGATTCGACGATAGTGCTGTTTGAATATCCCACTACTAGTACGACACCTACGATGAGCTTTACATGTCAGGTTCCCATTACAAAGTATTCGAAATTGTTACTTCATACGGGTCGTTTTAGATCCATGTATATCAGCAGAGCTTTAAGATAATCCTTTCATTGCAGACTAGCAAATTATAGTAGTAATTAAATACCAAACTGATTCTAACATTTCATAGTTATATAAAGTAATGTTTTCAATGTATTCAAAATTAAATATATAAGTAATTCTGTAACTTATTTATGTTACTGATAATTATTTAAAGCATTAACAAAGTTAATCAAGTTATAATCTCCGTTTATGCGACAACGCTGCGTCGTTTATTTTCTTTTACATTGTTGTTGAATCATTATCGTGTGTGATCTATTCTTACATTATTAATGAATTATCGGAAATTTCAAGTAGAAGTAAACATAGTGTTCGTGTCAATTTCGGCCTCCACATATATTTCATTAAAGACATTTTGCAATCGTTATCGAACTTATCGAATTTATTTTGTAAATAACGATTGTTTTTGAACGATTAAATCAAAAAGTCAGTTTAACCAGTTAACTGTGATTGACGAGTATACTCGTCATGGAGAAGTGGCACGATTTTGTGTATTGACGAGTATACTCGTCATGCGTATAAAGTAGTGACCATTGGCTATTTAAATTGTAATTTTTGAGAAAAACAAAACATATTCTCAAATTTCAAGATGTTTAGAATATTTTGAAGTTAGGCCAGAATAAAACAAACGAATACAAAATATAAATAATTTGAGATAAACTCATGCGTCCCGTATGCACCGGCTTATTAGTTCGATATTAGATATTATTTGTTTGAATTCTTATATATTATACAAAAAGAATAATGGAACGTTATCGCGAATGAATTTTTTACTAGAATTTGATGAGGATAATATTGCATCATATCCAATAACACTGGAAAAGTCGAAACAAACTCGGCCGTCTAGGCCTAATGTAACAAAATTACACGGGAATCATACTCTGGATTATATACCCGGAACTTCAATAACAAAAAATCCTACCCGAAAATGTGCATGTTGTTATAAACGGAAAATCAGGAAAAAGTCTCGTTACTGGTGTTCCATTTGTAAAGTTCCATTATGTGTAACACCCTGTTTTGCAGAATACCACGCCACAGCAGCAAGTTCAATTTTTGCATTTAATTATTCTTTTCATTTAATTTTTCTTGTGTTTTTTGACTAATAAAAATGTAATATGTGTTTAAGTTAACAGAATAAATATAGATCAAGTGATATAGATAATATGATTTGATATGATATATATTTTACATGATATATAAAATATAGATAAGTGTCAATTTTATAAAATAATCCCATCTTTTTGATACAATATCTTAAGAGCGACACTTACTCTGTGATTGACGAGTATACTCGTCATCGCTCGATTTCGGCGACACATATAGGTGCGCGCTCGCAAACGGGGACGCCACAGTTAACTGGTTAATGGTACCATTTTAACATTAGGATGCTTATTAGGTCGTATTTCAGGGAAAATAATGCGTCACGAAAATGCGTAACGCTTGAAATTTTGATATTGCTAACGCGTGATTCTGTGAAAATACATAACTCATAAATTCTGACAATGTTGGTGCTCCATTTCTGTGAGAATAGTGGGGGTATATACATGACACAGAATTTGACAATTTCTAGAATACCTATGTTTCGTACATTTCCTATACTTATCTCGATTTGAAATCTTATATCGTACATCCTAATGTTCTCCGTTATTTGCACGGAGAAGAAATCTTATCTTATAATCATATCTTATTTTGCAGATAAAAATACATCTGTGAGATTGAATGACAGTCGTGATCAGTTGATGTGTGGTTTTGCCGCGTATGTCTACTTTGTGTAGTCGTATAAAAGCTTTACAATAAATACGTAGCCAAAACGCTGCTATCGAACGCAATTTTTCTCAACAAACGATATTAAATTTAAACTTTTACACACACTTTTAATACACTTTTAACAAAAATTTGTTTTTACAAAACAATCAGTAACAGATCCTGATTTTTTGTGGGATTGAAAACCAATATTGATCTTCAAATACAACATATCGATAATTAAAAAAATATGAAAAATCTGTTATTATACCATAGTATAAACTCAACGAATAATCATTGATTTAAGACAATGCTTTAACCTTCTTCAATTTGAAATTTTCATAAGTTGATATTTAAAATATAATTCTTCGAGGTTCGTAATCTTCGATGAAATAGTGATTTTGTTTCATAGCTATATTATTATATAATTACATAACGTACATAACATGCACCATAACCAAGGTAATACAGGAAGTATAATAAATATGTATACTAACATAGCTCATTTTTTTTACAAATACTTTTGAGTATATCATTAAAGTTTCTGAGATAACAGCAACTTGTTTAATAATATAGTGCCTTCTTGAATCTATGTGTTCATGTAACCGTCTGATATTCTTTGTCCTCGTGAGTATCACACTGCGTCAAAACTGCAAATAACAATGAGTGGCAATAATTGTTTTCCTTTCTCTTCGTGCAGCGCTGTTTTTCAAAACCGTGACGTATGAATCACCTAAATTCATTCTAATCCTACATTACACAATTGACAGCATAGCTTTCACGTAAAGACGTTGTATTTTTAAACGAAAGTCTTGCAGTGAACAGTGAATATTAATTAATTCATTATATGCCGATGAAAAATATGCCAATTATCAGAAAGAATGAAGAATGATATTGTTGAAACAGTAGGTACAGTAAGAGGTTACATGCATCCGTCACTATAAGTGTATGTTTGTACTATCTTTCAAGAATCCCTCAGATTTCACATTCTATTCGTGGATCAATTATAGAATGCATTATAAACACTAGAGTAGGTCTCACCTATGTATTAACTTGCATCTAGCAGTATACAATAGCATCACCTTACAAATATATAGTCTTGTCATTTTTTAATATTCAGGGTAACAAATATATTAGAATGTATCTACATGCGTGTCACGAAGAATGTTGTTTAACATGGAGTATTGATCCAATGAGTGAAACTCGGCTAGTTTAAGGTTACGTTAGTTTTGTTTTGAATTGATATCGGCAACATCGTTAACACGGGTTAGTGCTATATGGCTAGCAAAGGGGGGCGCATCGTACGCGTCATCGGATCTTATTGCCATTTGCCATTGCAGCACACAGCAAATCATAGTTAACCATAGCGGAGTATAGTAGAATTGCAGACTTCATGATGGTCGTACGCCTATGCGGGAATGTGTGATTGTGTATAGTGCGTATGTGTGATTACGAATAGGATTTTTACAAGTCCTCAAAAAAAACTTGCTCAATGTTTTTCAATACGCTTCTCAAAATTGTGTTCCTTTTCTGCTTGTGTCAAGTAATTATTTCTTAATTTTGACTTTGTTCACATATACAATGTAAGTATATATATATATATATAGCTATATATATATAAAATTACTAGCCGACCAGGCGAACGTTGTTCTGCCATATAAATTATTTCTAGTGAATATTTTGGTTGTTAAATAAAAAATAACGAATGTATTGTAAATGTGTGGGGATGGGATCTATGACAAAAAGAGGAATTGAGCGCTATAGACGATGACCGCCGATAAAAACAAAAAAACACCAACCATTCATTTTCTCAATTCAATGTATTTCATTAACGTAACGGACATATTCATTGTTTGATCTCTTAAAAGTTAAATGTAAAGTGAAAAAAAGTAATATATTTTTTATCCTAAAGTAAGAAAATGAAATAAAGAAAGTCAATATTAATTTTGAAGAGCAATTAAGTGTACGATAGTTTTTGGCAGTCCGTCTTTAGCCAACACAAATAAGCTCGATGGTTTGCCTACGCGAGAACATGCCACGTATAATTGTCCGTGGGAAAAACATGGTGTGCCCAAATGTGTGCCCATGAAGTAGATTAGTAAAAATTTATGTGGTTCGTTTGGCATTGGCAGCAATGAGCCTAATTTGTGGTACACTTGGCCTTTCATTTTGAATGTTGAATTGTATTGTTGACCACTTGCTGCAGTATTGTGAACTATTTCTGTTGCTCCGAACGAAGTCATTTGGAAGCATGAATTGAATGTGCGAATGGACTTCAGGAACAGGTTCGAATCTGGATCCGTGCCGATGAGCAAGCCGTTTAATGGTTCTGGTGGTGTCTCAATTTCTGGTAGTTGCACTTTTCCTGAAGCGCAACATATCCCGGCTGACTCACGTTTGAATTTGAGCGCATGACAATGGGGACATTCTTTGCCCATAGCACCAATCAGCACTTTCGGTTGAGCGGAATATTCAATATCTGGCTCGTACTCGAATGCGAGACGAAGGAACGAAGCGGATGTAAATGCTCGATGTACTTGTTGGCGTTATTGGTCATTTGCTCTGCGTGTGTTAACTACGAACCGGCGCGCTTGTCTCCGTTCCAATTGTAGTTGTTGATTTCGTTCAGGTGATTGAGATGCACGCAATTGCGACATGCTCACACGCATATTTTCGTTATCTTGTTGGATTTGTTCGTCTGTTCTTTCTGCTCTACTATTTCGCATGTTTGTT